TTCTCTTGTTCATAGTTTGTCATCTCTTGAATCTCATGTTTATAGGCTTATTCTTTGTCCCATTCTATTGTAGTACTTTATTGTGTACTCTAGTATATTTAATTAAAGCTTGGTCGTGCTGTTTTCCCCTTCTCGCTATAAGTCAATTCCAAAAGTTGTCACAAAACCTCCTTTACAACTTGATGGATACATTTAGTAAAACACAATTGGCCACTTAAGATATAAAGTAAGATAAGTTATTCTCACCTATACTGGACGTTTAGAGTATAGGCCTAATGCATCCAGTTATCGTAGCCAGAGGGTTTTTCTATTTTCAGGCTTATATCCACAATACAGGGAATTTATGATGCTAAATATGTTGTTTTATTAGGTGGAGAAAGTGTGCTGTAATTTACTAAACGTGTTCTATATGGATACTTAAGTTTGACTCTTCTTATAATGACTAAAGCAGGAAATGTATTCATATCATCCTATAGTACCTGCACTTCATTTCACTGCAGTTATAACATTTGGTATATGTGGATAGCTAACTAGCTAACTCCTTTCTAAAATCCCTTACAAAACTGAACTTCAGAGGTTTTTTACATTGATTCTTCACTTTCACTCTTATCTTATATTGACAACAGTGAACTCCAAAGGTTTCAACAAAACCTCCTTTACAGCTTGGTGGATATATATTTGTAAAATACAATCGGCCACTTTATTGAGATGGTCTCACCTGTACCGGAAGTGTGGGGGATTTAGATCCTGCTGCGTGAAGCCAGTAACTTTTTAAAGTTTGACGCCCAGGTGGATAATACCATGAATCCATCACGTTATAGAAGACTTCACGCTGTGGAGAAAGCCTTCGCTGGTGGAAGTAGCTTCTTGTGAAATGGCGACTTTACTCTTGAAATGGATTTTAACATTTGGACTTGATTGCCGCCACCTGCGCGTGTTGATCAGCGGCGTCACGTGCTCGGTGTTGTTGACCTCGAGCTGTCGGCGGAGAGTCGCTCTCAGGTTCTTCACCGGTGTCGTTGTCCGAGATGGGGGAATCAATCCTGATGTCAGCCGCCCTCCGTTCACTCCGCACGGTTGTCCCCCTGCTGCTGCTGCTCACCTGCAGCCGCCCGCTGCTCGGGTCCTCTGTGGCCGCCCCCGGTGCTGCACTGCGCAGCCTGGGCGAGCTGAGCTACCCGTACAGCAGCATATACTCCCCGCTGCTCAAAGCCCTGTCAGAGCACGGAGGGCCCAGCTGGAGCCGGGGCCTCAAGAAGAAGACGAGGCCAGAGCACCGGTACATGAAATATCTGACCGAGGTTTACAAGCCGTCCTCCAGGGTGCAGAGGAGTCTGGACGGGAGCACAATCTACAACACGGTGCGGCTGATCAAGCCCCAAGATGAATGCCTTGCGCGAAGTAATAAAGGTGAGGAAGTCAAACACAGAGAGCAATGGGTTGAACTGTGGACTGAATACAACTAATGATTTGACTCGGTTGATTTGGGGCCCTGGGTTTGAATTACGCTTGGGCGATACGGCCAAATATTCTACCAACTTTAGTCAAGATAAAATGATTAACACTTGATAAACAAATCTCACATAGATCTACTGTGTAATAAGTCCTCTCTGTGCACAATCAAATTAGCAACAAATGGATATATATTGAACTTTTGTTTTATTGTTAATAATGAAATCATATTGTGAACATTTGTATAGATAGTAAATGATAAGTGTAATTTCCACAAATTTGACTGACAAGGAGTAAACCAGTTGGTAGTATTATTTTGGACTTGTGGTTGTGCTTTGCATAATGAGGCTATTATGTGCAGCCTAGTTGTGTGTGTACTTAAACCTGAAGGAAACAATAGTCCCAAAATTACCAAATGTGTGTGTTGGTCAAAACATTATTCTGGATTTGCCTCCCAATATGGATCCCCACCAATGTTTTAATAGTTCTTCCCTGACCCACACTACATCCTTCTACCAAGTTTCATGGTAATCCATCCAATTGTTGTTGTGTTATCATGCTTACAACCAGCAAACTGACGGGGGGTAAAAACATGACCTCTGCAGCAGAGGCTATGTTTTATAAATCTATGTTTATGGATTTAGAGTTCAGCCAATTGGCAAAGACTTCCTTGGATCATGTCATAAAACAGCCACTCTGCTGTTTCTACATTTATGTGTCTGTTCTGGTGAAACTACCAGGACACATGCCGTAAATGAGAAAGAAAATATACAATTCAACTGCAATCCTCATCTCATGCTACTTACTATGACTCTTCTTTTATGAGTCGCAGACTGCACAATAGTAATATGTCATTTTTTCCCCCCTCCAGAAAGTTGTATGCAGGATCTTTCCTACAGTCTAGATCAAGTAAGAACAAAAGAACAGCTTCTCAAGTCAGCTCTGCTGTACAATTTTGACCATGACGGCCCTGTGCCCATAAACTCTGTTTGCTACCTGAGTGTCAAGGAGCAGGAGCAGTCAAACAGTTGTCTGCTGTGTCCCGTGATCCACCATCCTGTGAACTTTACAACCGACGCTGACGGGAGGAGCAGGAAGGACTGGGTGGAGGTGGACGTCACCTCATTTGTCCAGCCTCTCTTAAAGTTCCAGAAGAAGAACATACACCTGCTCATCAACGTCACCTGTCCAGAGGAACAAAGAGTCAGGGACGATGGGAGTAAAGGCCCACTGGAGCTCAGCCTGAGGCCCCCTCGTCTGCTTCTTTATCTCCATGACGCAAGCAAAATCAAGCAACAGAAGTCACTGGTCAATGCGGAAGAGGGTGAAAAGCCAAGCACTGCAGCGAACGCGTTTCATAAGCAGATGGTTCTCAAACCAGAACAAAGGTTTGGGCGTAAAAGGAGATGGAAGAGACAATCTCTGGAGAGCAAACGAGGTGATAAAACCCTGGATATGCAGCTGCCTGAGCTGCTCCCGAGCTCTGTATTTCCAACTAGTTACTGTGCCTTGTATGACTTCAGAGTGCGATTCAGCCAACTTAAACTGGACAGCTGGATTGTTTTTCCTCCAAAGTACAATCCCAGATACTGCAGAGGCATCTGCCCGAGGGCCATGGGTTTCATCTACGGCTCACCGGTCCACACCATGGTGCAAAACATCATCTATGAGGAGCTTGACTCCTCTGTGCCCCGGCCCTCGTGTATTCCCTCCCGCTACAGCCCACTGAGTGTCATGATGTTTGAGGAGGACGGATCTTACGTCTACAAGGAGCTTGAAGACATGATTGCCACGAGGTGCACGTGTCGCTAAGCTGGCACACCACCAGAGAGGCCTTCCAACAGTCAGATATTCTGACCAGGCTGAGTGATTTCATGAATTTATACAGTTGTGCATGATCTGGAGCAGGTGTGTTTCCTTAAACAAAAAGTATTTTACCCTAATGAAAAATGTGGAAACGTGACAATTATTTCCTTTTTGTCAAGGTGTGAGAAGAGATTCTGCGGATACATCCTCTTGTTCATCTTGCAGTTCGGCATTGATTCCGACAGACTTGAAAAAAATGTGTGATATCTAATTTTTTTTTAAGTTATTTTTTGTTAACTTATTTTGGGTGGATGGTCTGTCATTATTCTTTAATTTATCACAGTTGCCATGTTTTAAGTAGCCCTGTTGTGGATAAAAGTTGAAAATACAGTTACAAACCCTTATTCAAACCTTTTACATATTGTTTTATTCCTGGGGGTTACAGACATCTGTCTTCATAATGTCCAGAATGAAAGTTGTCAAGGTTTCAGTGTGTATTTATTACTTCTGGTCACTGAGTGACTGCATACATATGAATTGACTGCATTCATCTTACTTTGTACTGGCTGAATTACTCAAACATCACAGGGGAAAATGCTGAGTAAAGAAACGAGAAAGATTTTGACTCTTGCATTGGAGTGTTTGCTCTCTACTCCAGGTGTTGAGTCCACATGACCTTGCAAAATACACATTAGGCTACACAGGCACTCCACTTTCAACTAGAATGAACTCAGTGAAGCGCATCCCTCCACACATAGTCTCATAATCTTAAATTCAGTCAAGCTGCATCAACTTGCACAAAGTTTTGTGTGACCAACCAACAAATGGACAGGGATGAAAACAGAACCTCCTTGTTGGGGCTACAGGTAAAGGTGCTGAATGATCATCAGCTTAAGCCTGTCAGGTTGTCAGTGGTTGTAAAAAATATTAGGCCTTCAAAAAAATGTAAATACATGTGGGGCTTTACCGGTTGCCTGGTCAGGTGCCACACCTCACTGCTGAAGAGATACATATTAATTGTTGTGTTTTTTGATTATATACTATTATATTCGATATATATATATTATTTAGTCTTTTTGTTTACCTATTGTTTTGGCAACATATACAATAATGGTGACAGCAACAATGTTGACATATTTTTATCATTACAACAGTATAAACACCACATCCTTTCCTCACTTCAGACAACAGCTTGTCCAGGCGAATGAAACATGTCCATATATCTGTGTATCTTATCTATCTTGTGTCACTTTCTGTTGTCACCATTTCACAAATTAAAAAAAAACACGTGAATAATACTTTGGGGGCCCTGACATAGAAGTGAGTCACCCGACCATACTCCGGGCCGACAGGTGGCGGTAGTGACCGCGGACAACAGGCGCTTGGTTAAAAAGGAAGGACACAGAGTCGTCTTTAGGAAACATAGCTGAGAAGCAGCACGGTAAGTTTCAATGTCACATCTTCAAATGCGACACTTCCACTCGCTTCTATCACTTAATACCGTGAAGTCTGTTTACTTAAGTGTGTGAGCAGTAAGGTGTGTTTTTATTTTTGCGACCACGTTTGCGTAGCTGTCAGGGAAACGGTTCAAACGCCTGTTTGTACTTTGGGAGCTAACAGCTAGCTCAAGGCGGCTAGCTGGTAATGCTAACTCCAGCGGCTAACAAGCTAAGAACACGTCCTTAGCTCCTTTTATTCAGATCGTTATTTCACAATCATCTAACCCTGTAGGTCCTCCTGTGGTCTTAGCTCATCGATTATCATCGGAAGCGTTTATTAACGACGTCATTGCGAGTTTGTCACAACCTACCTCTCTCGTATGTTGACATTTAAAGCACAAAGCGGATTTATTCACATTTAAAATCCGGTATTCAAACTAACTTCATCTTTAATACAAGAGATTAAGTAACTTTTGCAGTTTGGTTATGACATGAGTGAAATGGTGAACGATATAGATATTGGTAAAAGGAAATGATGGAAAAGTCTCTAAAGCCACAATTTACTGTTACTTTAATTGACTGATTAAAAATGCAGCGTTTAAATAGATTGAATAACATATTTACAATTGATATGTATGTTTGTAACGTTTCTCATATGTATCAAGGCATGTGTGTATGAGTGTGTGTATATATGCATGAACACATATTTGAGCTGCAGCTCAGATTTATTTGTGATGATTTATATATCATGTACATTTTTCCTTTTCTGCCTTATATTTTAAGGTGTTGACAAACAGTGAACTCCATTTAAAGTTATTCTCATTCTCTTGTGGCCAATTCAGTTCAGCTGGAAATGAGTTTGTATTTATTGAACACAGTAAATTCATAGTGGTTTAAAGAATCCCTGTGAAGAGTTTACTAAGTTCCCTAGGCTGGTGTGATACATAGTTGTATATTAATGTATTATGTATGATTTATTCCAATATGACCATAGAAAATGCATTTTTTATGCTGGTATATGTCTGTAAATTCCTGATTATGTTTTTCTATCAGCTCTCTGGTGATCATGGGCCGCCACTTTGGAGACTTGGCCAAGGTCAGGCATGTAATCACATACAGCCTGTCCCCATTTGAACAGAAGGCTTTCCCTAACTACTTCTCCAAGGGAATCCCCAATGTGTGGAGAAGGACCACAACATCTTTCTTCAAAGTTGCCCCCCGTGAGTCTTTGCGCCTTGATTTTAGTTGGACTGTTGCCCAATCTTACTGTGTAGAGTCCGTTCAAAATTCAGCAGGAAGAGCTTGACGTGAATTTTTATTTCATAATCTTTGAATTATAATAATTAATCATACTATGTTAGACTTAATTTATTTATAATAACATTTGTGTTAAATTTTTGTGCTAAGTTGTTTTATGATCTTCCTTTTTGCAGCGATGATCCTCATGTACCTGACATACAGCTGGGGCAACAGTGTCCATCAGCAGGGCAAGAGAAAGAATCTTTCCGACTATGAGAACGATGAATAGGCACCTGCCACCTCCTGAAAGCTGCCCTCTGTTGTTAATTCAAACTGTAACCAATAAAGATGAGAAATATTTATGTGAAATCTGTTTTTATTGGTTTCATTCTGTCATCCCGTCTTGATTGCACAGATGTTCATGTTGGTGTAAAATCAATGCTACAGTTTGAAGTAATTATATCAGTCATTTACCGTCTCCAATTGGAAGTGCTACTTCCTTATGTTTTATAATTTTGAAAGTGGGGGATCTTTGGGTTTTAGACTGTGTTGAACAAAACAAGAAAATGACATCACTTTGGGACATGGGAAGATGTGCTGGGTATTTTACTGATATCTGAAGATTCTCGATCATGATTGGATCTTGAACTGAAGAAGCCTAGCACAAAATCCAGTTGCCCATGATTCAGAGAAGTTGAATACTTAAGAAAATGTGTGCACATAATGTTAATTGTGCAGCAGAATGAGGAAAACGAGACTAAAGGCAATGGAAAAAAAAATAAAAATACAGAAAATGTACAAGAAATACACCTTTTACTGCAGAATTTGTTTGTGCTTGAATGAAAATGCAAAGTTTGTGCTTTACTAAAGGAGATGTTGACGTTTCCATATATGTGCATATTAGACTGTTAAGTATATAAGCAGGTTTGGTATACAAAAAGAGTATAAAATGATATACATATGTATATACATGGGCATAAATTCACTAAAGTTCACCAGATCCTAGTATTTTTTTCATATTACAACTAAAATGTGTATATAAATATGTAGTGTACATTTATATCTTATATTTATATCTTTATATACAGTCTATGAGTGTACCACATAATATGAATAAAAAAAGATATATAAATGGGTGAAAATTCATAAAAAGAGGCATGCTTGTGGAATTATATACTATAATACGATGTAACTGGGAAACTATAGGTTTAGTGCAAAATGTCAAAAAAAAGTGCAAGTCATGATAAGTAGTTGTGACATGAGAAAGCAGAGCAGCACTTATTTACTATGCTGCTGCACCAGAGTGTGCAGGAGCCAGACTGCTGCAGCTGCAGAGCATGTGTGTGAGTCAGGTTCAGACCATAGGCTGTGTAGAAAGGTTCAGACCGGTACCGCTGGTCGTGGTGCAGGATGGAGGCTCATCTCCACACCTGACGATGCCGCTGCAGTGACAGCCTCTGGCCTGTGGGCGTCGCACCGTGCTCGGGCGCAGCGTCTCCGCGGTGCGACGCTATTGGTCAGCGGCGCAGACAGAAGATTCCTGAACCCTCACGAGCATCGAGCCGGTGAACGTACCGCATGCTGCTGCTGCTGCTGCTCACTTACATGGAACAAGAACAAGGGTGTATCACTGTCCGCTGATCCAGACCCACCGTAGCCGCCGCCGTCACTTTTGTTTAGTTTTTTAGCCCCGAGCCTCGTTTCTCCTCGTTCTCGCCGCTGCCCTGCGCTGGTCGATTCGCCGCTGAAGATGTCAGTTGTCGGGTTTGACGTCGGCTTCATGAGCTGCTATGTAGCGGTAGCCAGAGCCGGAGGGATTGAAACAGTCGCCAATGAATACAGCGACCGAAGCACACCGTAAGTACCGCTGCACCCGTCCCCGCGTTTCATTCGTGTCGTGTCGTTAGCGCCGATAGCGAGCGCAGAAAACCAACCACTTTTCTTCATCCCGATCCAAGCTAACGCGGCTAGCTACCCGGCTAGTTAGCGTGCTAACTGATGTCACAACAGGAAGCGGTGAGTGAGGGGCTAAAGCTAGCTGTAGCCGAGAGTAAAACCATTGTGAGCAGAGAAGGAATCGTGGATCCACATCTCCTGCTTGAATGATCCTCGTGGTGTGTTACTTCAGTATCACCGTCGAGCTCGCGCACAGGTTGTGATAACTGAGCTCCAGGTCAGGTGGTGAGTTTTACCGTGCTGCGTGCATGAATGAGCGCATATGATGGGAGGAGGCCGGAACCAGGCTGTCAGAACGGCTCCTGCAGCCCATTGTACCCGACCGTCCAAACCCTCAGTCCCCAGAAGAACCCCGTAGTGTCACTTAGTGTAGAGTGAATAATCAAAAACATGAGAACTGTGATGACGTGAAACCATCACTGTCAATTACTATTTTATAATTGGTGACATCAGCCCTTTCGAAAAACTGCTTAAGAAGAAATGACTGAATTGTGTTTCTTTTTTCTGCTTATAGAGCATGTGTTTCCTTTGGACCTCGGAATCGCTCCATCGGTGCAGCTGCAAAAAGCCAGGTATGTTTTCATGAGACACTGGGGACATGATCACCAACCTGACAGTGAGGAGGGACCCGTGTCTGAACATGAGACTCATACGAGGCAGGGTTACAGCACACATCAAATTCAGCACCATCACAGAACACACTTTCAAGTCAAGGATGCATTATCTGCTTAGCTGTGCAGTACAGCTGGATGACATGGCCAAAAATTATACCAGGACAAAAGTGTTGCAGCCGATGTTGATGAATATAAGGACACATTTCCTTATTTATTTTAAAGGTCCAGTGTGTAAGATTTAGGTGAAAGGGAACTTTTGGCAGAAATTTAATGTAGAATAATCCTCATGATGTTTTCACTAGTTCAGTTCATCTAAATTGTATGAATTGTACTTTTCTTTACCCTAAAAATGGCCCTTTATATTTAAATACTTAATATTTACATCGAGAGGGTCCTCTCTATGGAGACCGCCATGTTTTTTAACATTAGTCCAGACTGGACAAACTAAACACCTTTTGAGACAACTGAAGGCTACCAGAGGTTCTTTTTCATGTTTGGAAGGGGAAGGGGAGGGTGAGGTGAGGGGTGTTCAGCTGCAACGTGCAATTTCGACACTACATATCACACAATTCTACACACTGTAAGTTTAAGTAGCAAATGAATAAAGGTTAATAGTAAGACAAAATTGTAGTGAGCCTAGGATGACTTATTAACTTCTCCTGGGGCCTTAGGCCTGCATTTAACTCAAAAGCCTCTGATTCATTGTGGATGGAATGGCTGTGCTTATACAGGTCATTGTATGTTTCATAGGAAAGGTCAGGATTTAATATCAGATAAGGTCTTCTGCATTTACAACTAATGATTTGACTTTGATTGGAATGGGGCTCCTGGGTTTGAATTAAAAAAGGTTTCATATTTTTTATATAATTATCACTAAAGATGTCACATTTATATTTTAAGGGGTTTTTTTTGCTCCTGAATTAGGGTAGTGCTTTGAACTGTTCTTTGCAGTTTAAGAACGCCACTTGCAGAATTCATCACCATTGTATCCATATATATTGGACCCTTGTTATAAGCTATTGATAGAAATTATATTGCAATAATTATTACTATGGTTGTATCGCCCTGCCCTAGTGTGCATGTTTTCTAATGGATAAGATTTTTTCCTTTTTTTCTGTTGAACAGGTCGTCACGAACTGCAAGAACACAGTCCAAGGTTTCAAGAGGTTTCATGGCAGGGCGTTTTCAGACCCGTATGTGCAGCGCGTCAAAAACAGCTTGGTCTATGATATTGCACAAATGCCCACGGGGACAGCTGGCATTAAGGTAAGAGAAGAATAAACAGTCAGTGGTTAATGAGGTAACTTAACGATGAACTGTTTGAACTGTGTTATGGAGATGGTTCACAAAATCAAATGCAAATCAGATAACTGGAAAACCAATCATTATAATACAGGATTCTGACAGGAACACAAGAGTTCATAATTGAAATAAAAGTCAGGTTGACCTTATCAGTGATAAAATAATAATATCTTTAAATGCTTTACAACAGTTTGACATCACTTAGCGTTGTCTGTTAATTTGAAGGTGATGTACATGGAGGAGGAGAAGGTGTTCAGCATTGAACAAGTCACTGCCATGCTGATGACCAAGCTGAAGGAGACGGCAGAGAATGCTCTGAAGAAGCCTGTGGCCGACTGTGTTGTCTCTGTAAGTCTTTACACACCACTGAACAGTTGACCTATGTGAGTGTGCAGGGCCTTAAAAGTGAAAAAAGAATTATTTCAATGCTTCTTTGTTGTAACCAGGTTCCCTGCTACTACACCGACGCTGAGAGGAGATCAGTTGTGGATGCTGCTCAGATTGCTGGACTGAACTGCCTGAGGCTCATGAATGAGACAACTGCAGGTCTGTACTAGGGTGTTTTTTGGGTAGGGCTTGGGCAAGGATGTGCATGTTGGTGATTGTTGTTCTAACTGTGTCTGCTGCTCTCTGCTGCTCTCTGCTGCCATCCCAGCACTTGTCCTCTTCATTAATAATTTATCAATTTTCCTTACAGTTGCATTAGCGTATGGTATCTACAAACAAGATCTCCCTGCTCCCGAGGAGAAGGCCAGAAATGTGGTGTTTGTGGACCTGGGCCATTCTGGATACCAGACATCAGTGTGTGCCTTCAATAAGGGCAAACTCAAGGTGTGTGTGTGTGTGGTGCGTTTGTATCTGTGTGTGTAAATCAACATACTGTACATTCTTTTACGGTTGTGCCGAATACCATTTTGAAGGCTTGTTGTTTGACAGGGATAGTGGCCTTCAACATTATAAATAGTTCGTCTGCAGGAACAAGACAGCTAAGAAGCTAGTTTTCTGGAGATTTTGCAAACTCTTTCAATATTTGTAATACACCAGTTTCCTGTTGCATTCTAGGAGTCATCGTCACAAATATAGTTACTTCAGCATTGCTGACACTCACAAGCCTGTCACATATCAGTGCTGGTAATGTTACACAAGAACTTTGAAGCACAAAATGATCAACAGGACGAAAAAAAAAAGATTCCTTGTCTGAGAATACGTAATATCCTTAATTTTGTTGCATTATGAACTAAAGTGGCATACCTCCGCCAAGGCACAACAGTACCACCTCATTTGAATTCACTAGATCTGGAATTTTCTTGGATGTGGATCTGCACCCAATTTCACACACACATAAATATGGGTTCCCTTACATGACTGGTTTGTTTATTTATTTTTTTATCCATGAATTCTTCTCTGAGAAATCATCAAAAATGTTGAAAACCGCTAAATTTCTTAATGTTGAAGAAGGTGAAAATAAATTCCTGGATCATCCCTCTGATCCAAATCTGCATGAACTTTCTTTATCAATCTATGAGAGCACAACTCAAACTCTCTTTTGGCCTCTTGTCTGTGTCTCTCAGGTCCTGGCTACAGCATGTGACCCGGAGTTGGGAGGAAAGGACTTCGATGAAGTACTAGTCAAGCATTTCTGTGAGGAATTTGGCAAGAAGTACAAGCTCGATGTCAAGTCAAAGCCCAGGGCTCTGGTCAGGCTCTACCAGGAGTGTGAAAAACTGAAAAAACTGATGAGCGCCAACTCCTCAGACCTGCCGCTTAACATCGAGTGCTTTATGAACGACATTGATGTCTCCGGAAAGCTGAATAGGTAACCCAACAAGAAATCTTTTTTTTTTTGATGCAGCATTTCTACATATGATTTCTCTCTTACTTTTAAGTTCCATAGTTTAAGCAATATCCACTTTTTCTCTTACACAAGGGGTCAGTTTGAAGAGATGTGTGCTGATATTTTCGCCCGAGTAGAGCCTCCTCTGCAGAACCTGCTGGAACATGCCAGTGAGTAATTGTTATTTAATTCAATTTAATAACCTGACATTTCTGTTCCAATAACTTGGTTTATATCATGCAATGTATGCAAGACAATCACTCATATTTTTATGTTTTTGCTCCATAAGAACTGAAGAAGGAAGACATCTATGCAGTTGAGATAGTGGGTGGAGCTTCCAGGATCCCAGCTCTCAAAGAGAGAATCAGCAAATACTTCGGGAAGGAGTTGAGCACCACGCTGAATGCTGACGAAGCTGTGGCCAGAGGATGTGCCCTGCAGGTACATCCCACTTTTGTTCTCAAAGGCTGTTCTCCACCCTTCCTATCACTCACATGTCCTTTACCAGCACGTGGCTTGAATAAACAATGATGTGAAAATTATGTTTTGGACTTACAGAGTTCTTTCAATGCTGCTCTCACTGAAATACTGTTTCTGTCCCCTCAGTGTGCAATACTGTCACCTGCCTTCAAAGTGCGCGAGTTTTCCATCACAGACATTGTTCCCTATCCCGTCTCCTTGAAGTGGCATTCTGCTGCAGAAGAAGGTTTGAGGTAAAGAACTCGATGGAATGTTTTTTCTTCTGACTCTAATTTGAACTATTATAATGATTATTTTGTTATGTTCATGTGTTGCAGTGATTGTGAGGTATTTCCCAAGAACCATGCAGCACCTTTCTCCAAAGTGTTGACCTTCTATCGGAGAGAGCCTTTCTCTTTGGAGGCCTATTACAACTGCCCTAATGAGCTTCCCTACCCTGACCCCACTATTGGTAAACAAATAAAGCTTCCTAAATTATTTCTCACCAATAGGGAGCAGAAATACTCCAAACTACTCATTGTGTAAACATAGCTGGTACAACATGAGCTTATTATGTTTGTTTTTGGTCACAATTTTTTTTTCTTTCTTTCAGGTCAGTTCTTGATCCAGAAGGTTGTCCCACAAGCATCTGGAGAGAGCTCCAAGGTTAAAGTTAAGGTGCGAGTGAACATCCATGGTATCTTTAGTGTGTCCAGCGCCTCCCTGGTCGAACTGCAGAAATCTGATGAGACAGAGGAACCCATGGAAACAGAACAGGCCAGTGAGAAAGATGGAGAGGTACTTAACCTAATAAGTGTCATTAAGTTTAGAATTATAAATCAATCAGATGAGTATATGTGCTACTGTTTGACCGTTTGTTTTCAGAGAAAAAACATGTCTGCTATTTGTTACTCTTCTACAGAGCAAGATGCAGACTGATCAGGATGAGCTGCAGGGACAGGGAGATGCTCAGAAAGAAACAGAGGAGAAGGCACCACGTGAGAATGAAGAGATGGAGGTAGGGTGCTCAATCATTGTTTAAAACAAACACCATTTTATAAGGTTGTTTATAAAGGGAAAACATCCCACAATAAACTTTATCTTTCAGAAGCTAATAATGTTCATCCTCATGCACAAATATAAACTTAACTTTTTCAAAGCAAAACACATGTAATGGATGAGAATACAGATGTTCGAATAAACTTGTGAATCGTTGGATGTATGTATTTGTGATGTTTTACATGCCAGTGTCTATTTCCTCACCTTTCAGACCACCCCAGAGGAGGGCAAAGGCGAGAAGAAGTCTGACCAGCCCCCACAAGCCAAAAAGCCCAAAGTCAAAACAAAAGTGCTGGATCTTCCGATTGAAAACAGTCCACAGTGGCAGCTAGCAGATGACATGCTCAATCTTTTTGTAGAAAATGAGGTAACAGCTTTCAGCTGTCACGTTACACGCACATTAAGTAAAAGACGACAGCTTGATGGAAAGCTTTAGTGAGAGTAGTTTGTTAGGTTAACTTTTCGGTTTCTCCTCAGGGTAAGATGATCATGCAGGACAAGCTGGAGAAGGAGAGGAACGACGCCAAGAATAATGTAGAAGAGTATGTGTACGACATGAGGGACAAACTGCACGGGATGCTGGAGAAGTTCGTTGGTGAATCTGTAAGTTAAAAATCACATCTGACTCATTGTAAAGAAAGAATTGGGATCAAAGTTATCACCTTATAGTCACTGTTTAATGTTACATGTTTAGTAATTGCTTTTCTTTTTTTTGTAGGACCGGGATGCTCTGTCATTAAAGCTGGAGGACACTGAAACCTGGCTGTATGAAGATGGAGAGGATCAACCCAAACAGGTGTACATTGACAAACTGGCAGAGTTAAAGGTAATTATTACTTTAGAAATAGTTTTTTTCTTCAGCCATTGATGGATCTGTATATTGATCAGTTTAACCTGACGTGTGTATTGTGTTCTGTGAAGAAACTTGGCCAGCCCATCCAGGAGAGGTATACAGAGGCTGAAGAGAGACCTAAAGCTTTTGACGAGCTGGGAAAACAAATCCAGCAATACATGAAATTTGTTGAAGCGTACAAAATGAAGGTAAATTAAGGCATTTTTAAAGGACTTTATTTTTCATGTACATCCTATATTATTCCTCTTTGTCTTAACACCATATTAATACAGAAGACATCAATACTTATAAAAGTAATAATGGCTGTGGTAACTTCCCATTGATTTCCAGGAGGAGCAGTATGACCATTTAGATGAGGCAGATGTCACCAAAGTTGACAAACTCACCAATGATGCAATGATCTGGATGAACAGCACCATGAACCAGCAAAGCAAACAAAGCTTGACTCTGGATCCCTCTGTCAAAGTTACAGATATTAAAGCGAAAACCAAGGTGAGACTATCTATGAGACGATCGTAGGACCAGAGCACCGAGAAAAGTAGAAAATCATACATGGGAAATAAATATGCAAGTTGTTTAAGACAGCTAGATTTGTCGAGGAAATACAATTAAATTAAATTTGTATTTGGTGATTGGTTGGAAAATTCATATATTGCTATTAGCGGTTACATCAAGTTAATACACAAAGTTGCTGAACACTGTTGATGCTACTTAAACCGCATTCGTTACTGTTATTGCACCTTCATGCGCAAGTTCAAGAATCTACCACTATATATATATATATTTTTAGTAATTCCATTATTTCATTGTGTTTTGTGAAATTCCGTAGGAGCTGTTCTCTGCTTGTAACCCCATTGTGACCAAGCCCAAACCCAAGGTGGAGCTTCCCAAGGAGGAGACGCCTGCCGAGCAGAACGGGCCCGTCAACGGACAGGAGAAACCCCAGGAAGAAAGTGCAGACAAGGGAACGAGCGAGAGCACAGGCAACCCCAGCTCAGAAACGACAGAAAACAAGCCTGACATGGACCTTGATTAAAGTAAAGCCCTACGCCTCCCTGAAGCAAAGTGGAACAGGAGCTTGTTGCTTCAGATTGAGATGCAGTCTGGGTTTATAATCAGAGCAGGTGAGGAATTTTTCAGGGGGGGGGGGGGACTGCACACCACAGTCAAAAGTAGGCAGGGTGATTAGCACACTGAGCCCAGCTCCTGGTGGTATCTGTCTGATGACACAGCATGCCCTCTCCCTTTCTGGATGACGTAAATCAAAAGCCAGCCGCAATAAGCCTGTTTGACGATGAGCGCTGTACACATGATGGTATTTATTTCTGTTGTGTGCTCTGTAAGTGTTCTGGTCTGTGTCACAATAACGGTTTTAATAAAGTTATTGAAAATCACTTGCACTGACTTTGTTTTCCTTGGTCAAGGTTCCTCACTGGTATTGCTTCTGTCTATTTCAATCTGGATGGTTTTGACTACATGGACAGAAATGTACAGTCCTCTATTAAACAATTAGTACATATGGTCAAACGAGTAAAGGGATGAGTATTAGAAAAATAATATGTCAATGTGTTTTGGCTTGATTGAAGCCAAGGTTAGCTGTGACCCTGCTATCGTTGCTAGGTCACATTGAATCATACATCCCATCATAATGTGTTAAACCATTTGGGACATTATATAATTGAAGGAGGCTGCGCTCTTATCGTCAATGCCCAGGAAACTCGTGACCATATCTGTTGTCTTGATACTTGCATGGATGTAGACATAGAGGTGTAGTGTTTATTAACCGGTGATCACTCTTCGACCGGCTAAACGCTACACGAACCTCCATCTGGGTCGAAGCTAACTACAGCCTAGCTTCCAAACTAACGGAAGTTTACGTCATGTCCGCGATGGGACGCTGCTTGCGTCCGACTGCAGGAATCACATGATCAACAGACACCCCGAGGTGCAGCTGGGTGATTCAGGTCTGTGATTCGTGTTTTTATAAGGACACTCAAAAGTTTCTAGTCACGCGGTGCAGTTGCGTAAAAGCTGCCACCGTCTTTTCGCCCTCAGCCTTTTAACAGCGATGCCATTTTATTGTTGCTTGATATAGTTTGTTAGATGAGTCTAAAGTCTGCTCTAGGTGTGTTTCTGACCTGACTCACTTTGAGGTCTGAGCTCTTTCAGACGAGCAACGCGCTCCCATTGTTTCCTTCCTTCTTCTTGTCTGCAGGACGATGAAGCTGATCATCCTCAATGACTACGACCAGGCGAGCGAGTGGGCTGCAAAGTACATCAGAAACAAGATCGTACTCTTCAGACCTGGCCCGGACAGATACTTCACCCTGGGGCTCCCCACTGGTAAGAAGGAGCTGCCCCCCCCTTACAGCTGTGCATATATAATGTTTTACATGTGTGGTGCTGGAGATACTTGTGTGTTTAAAAACTCATCTTATACAATTCAAATCAAATTTTATTTGTATAGCCCATATCTACAAATCACAATTTGCCTCATAGGGCTTTAACAAGCTGTGACATCCTCTGCCCTTAACCCTCAACAAGAGTTAGGAAAAACTACCAAAAAACCTTTTTAACAGGGAAAGAAATGTGAGGGACGGACAGAGGTGCAATAGATACCAAGGGTTATTATAGTTAACGAAAACTAAGACTTAAACTAAAACGAGCAATGAAAAAATAATTTAGTTAAGTGAATTAAAACAATAGAAAAAAAAATAAAAACTGCAATGAACAATGCAAAACTAACTAAAACTAAACTGAATTGCAGATAAATTCTTTTTCGTGGTCGTTTCGTTTTCTCCCTCGATTACTGCCTGTCCTGCAGGTGATGGTTAAAGAATGAAATTAAAGGACTTGATAAACCATATTTGGTGTCACACATTGTTTCATCCTTTTTTCGCTTCTACAAGTCAAGGCTTTCTCTTAATACCTGGAAAAACTAAGATTAAAACTAAAAATAAAAAAAATATAAAAACTATAATAACCTTTAATAACCTTGTAGATACCACATACTTTCATTGTCAAATAAATTAACTTTCTCTTATAAAGTTTCAGTGGTATTATTATTTGCTCAAATGAAAAGTAAAAGCACTTATATTCTTGCAGAAAGGTAAAACATTTATGCTAAAATCTGTAAAAACTGTGTAATTGTTTATACATTAAATTGTGTGACTCTGTGTTTTTGAGTCACTTTGTAAGCTTTCTCTTTCATTATTACAATCGAAACCTTTTTTATTTCCATCAGGAAGCACGCCTATGGGTTGTTACAAGAAACTGATTGAGTTTTACAAGAATGGTGAAGTCTCATTCCAGTATGTAAAGACTTTCAACATGGACGAATATGTAGGTAAGGCATCGTCATCCTCTCTCCTCACACTAAATGATTACACACCGAGGATTTGATGAAAGCATAACAAACTGTCCTAACATCTTGTACAGGACTTCCCAGAGATCACCCCGAGAGCTACCACTCCTTCATGTGGAACAACTTCTTCAAGCACATAGACATAAAAGCAGAGAACACGCACATCCTCGACGGCAACGCTGCCGACCTGCAAGCAGAGTGTGAGGCCTTCGAGAATAAGATAACAGCTGCCGGGGGGATCGAGCTCTTTGTTGGAGGTCAGGAGGTCATAGTGCAGACAAATATGTCATAAACAACTATATACAGTAGTTTTGGTATCAAGAGATTATGCTGTCACTTTTGAAGCTACAGTAAAACTGAAACTGATCTTACTGTCCTGTTTTAGGTATTGGACCCGATGGTCACATTGCCTTTAATGAGCCTGGTTCCAGCTTGGTTTCCAGGACCAGGGTGAAGACTCTGGCAAAGGATACTATCATAGCTAACGCCCGATTCTTCGACAAGGATATCTCAAAGGTGCCCACCATGGCTCTGACTGTGGGAGTGGGCACTGTCATGGATGCAAAAGAGGTCAGAGGCCTATTGCTACATGGTTCTGCAAAATATCACATTTATGTTATGTAAGGATTGATCCTTTCTGTCTCAGAGGTCACAGGTCACATTTAGAATTCTGTTCTATTCTCAGGTCATGATTCTCATCACCGGAGCACACAAGGCATTTGCTTTATACAAGGCAATAGAGGATGGCGTGAATCACATGTGGACAGTGTCTGCATTCCAGCAGCACCCACAGACAGTTTTTGTGTGTGACGAAGATGCCACCCTGGAACTGAGGGTCAAAACTGTAAAGTACTTCAAAGGTGAGACGAAATCACAAAGCCATAATGCTTCATTTCAAATGTACTAAATTGTAAACTGTGTTGGTCTGAGTAAAGAAAACATCAACAAGAATCCTAGAAAACATGCTGAGTCTTTCTCTTTCTACAGGGATGATGCATGTGCATAATAAACTGGTGGAGCTACCTTCCCTGGACGGCAAGAAGAACTGATCTGAGGAGATTTCAGACTTTGTGTATTCATGAGGCTTTTAAAAAAAAAATCAACACTTAATGATTCCTTCTGATGGAGACACAGGCAGCCGTGGAAGCAGTGCTTGGAGTCTACCACCACTACTCATCTGTGTAGAAATAATCAGGTGATGGCGGAGCACAGGTTCATAAGAATCAGGTGATTTTTTATACATTTGTTCTTGGTAATAAAGAGCGTTTAATTTTTACATCCTGTGTGTTTTGATTGGTGCGATGATCATACACGTCTGTGTGAAAGTCTTTTTTTCCTCCTGTCACATGACAACACGGAACCACTCGTGTTGCCTTTAGGCTCTTCTTGTAATATTGTAATTCCAGTTGGAAGCTGTGAATAATGAACCTGATTTCATTGTGTGAAACGAAGGAGCACAGATTCCTTGTTGACTATAATATTATATATGCTGTAACCAAATACTTTTAAACAAGTACCGCAGTTTCGTGGCATTTCTACAATACTATGTGATAGGATTATTTTCTGAACTTTGTCTTCAAGCGCAATGTGCGTTTAACCCATAGACTGTATATAAAGATTCAACCACAACAGTCAGAGGCAATGCTCTTTTTTGCTCGACATCATTTGCAGTTAAATAATAATAAGATAATGATCATTTTTTAATATATAATGCATTACATGCACCATCTGTACGATCAATTATCGATTGATTCCAACTGCATAAAGTTTCTATTTTGATGAGGTACAAAATATGAACGCTGCCCATAATGTAGATGCAGTTGTGTAATGTAATTTACATCACACTTCAATAAACTTTGTAGGTTTTTAAGTAACTCTGTACGCACTTGTACTGATGCACACTTGTATTTTAAATGTAGTTATACTGCTGCTGACACAGGCCGCTTCTCTCACTCTACTCTATTCGCTCGTGTGCGAACCACCGGTGAGGAAAGTCTCCCACAGTCCGTGAAGGCAGCAGCGCAGCCAGCTCCAGTCAGGAGGGGAGTGGGCAGCAGGAGATGGCCGACTGAAGACAGCTTTACCCCCGCACCTTCGTCGGCTACGTTCCCTTCTAGATAACACATTTTCGGAAGTGAAGTGGGGAAGAGGACGCGTTAAATCTCTCTCTCCCCTTCCACTATGGCGGAACAAAACAGCAACGTCAGATATCAGGAGGTAGGTAACCCCCGTTTGCTGCTACGCTAGAAAAAAAAAAAAAAAAGAAGCTAACAGCTAGCTGGATGCTAACACCAGCCAACGAGCCTGTCACTGGAGACAACAGCGAGCTACACCGACACTTGTTGACTGCCAGGCCCTGATGTGGCGAGAGATAGCTCAGGCTTATATCAAACCAAACGTGTCACTGTCAAAATTCATCGTGAATATACGAACTAATCAATTCCTGTCGTGTAACATGGAGCCTGTGTGGCCCCTTTCCCCCATCGGCAGCTAGTTAGTTCCTGTCACCTGCTAATGTCAGGCCTGGGTCTGTGTGGTGATACTTACTATACCAGTCTCCAGTCCACTGATTCAAACCCGGTAGACAGGACCAGGAAACTGACATGAAGCTGCAGCCTTCTCACCTGTTGATATGAGTGTGTGTTTGTCTGTGTCTGTGTTTGTCTGTGTGTGTGTCAGTGCCTGTTTTTAGTTCACTTTGTGTAGTAGTAGTGTAGTTTTAACGATTCATCTTATGTCCCTATAACAAAATTCTGTCCAACCAATCTCTACTACTTTAAAATGAACTTGCTGCACATGGACGTGTGTTGCCCTATGTGTTCTGTTGCAGAAGTGAAACAGAAGTGGTCAGAACCTTGTTAGTCAGCAGTCTGCACAGTGTATTCCTCCTGTATTTACATGTTCACAGCGGAAGTGGAATGTGCCAACCAGTTCTCTCGTCATCTGACCTTCTTCTACCCACAGCTCGGCGATATGGCCAAAAATATATCGAGATACAAATTCTAATTTTAGTTGATGTTGATAATTATCGTGATTAATGGCACGTTATTATTTATTTTACAGTTGAACATTGATTTTGCCCCTAGGTGAAGGTTGTGGTTTTAAACACCAGAAATGTTTGATAAACATTAAATTATTTTTTAAAATCTGATTAATGATGTGTTATACCTCCTCACTGTGCACCATGTATTAATAATGTATCATGTGCTAAAGCTTTGTTATATTTCTGTTAATGAAAAGTAGATTGTGATAATTAGCTTCTACACTCACATTACAGTGTCTATATCTATATCTTTTTAACTGGTAAACTATTTAGTCAAATGAGAAAGCATCTAGAGGTTAAGGATGAACATGTCTTTTTTTTGGTAAAATACAATCAGGATACTTCCTCAAACAACATATCCACAAATCATCCTGCCCATTGACCTGCAACATTCCCTAAGATGGCCCAATAAACTGGAAATCTTAGAGCGTGAGCTGCCACTTTATAAACGGCACAGAAACAGTTGGCAAACTTCTGTTATCTAATGATATAAGTATAAGTATTTTAAGTATGATTGATGCCAACCACTGTGTTGTTTCCTTTCTTAAATGACATCTCCTTACCTAGCCAACCAGCAGAGTTTTCCTAAAGGCTGTAACATAAGTCTGACCCAGGTTGTGTTGTCATTTGTGAACATTCCTGCAGCTGGTGAACGAGGAGGAGCCATCCCAGGAGGGTCCGGCCCAGGACGCACCACCGCCCTACAGCAGCATTACTGCAGCGAATGCAGGTCAGAAAGCTTCAAAGCTCCAGCCCCTACTGTTTAATGATTGGTAACTCTAAAGCAGAGTAAGAATATATCCAGATGTATTATTGCCAAATTAATAATAATTCTCCAGTAAAGTGAGAATCTTTAACAAAAATAAATCATTGGTATCCACTCTGTCACATTATTGCATTATTGCTTAATTTATGATCACATACATCAGTTTAAAATATTATATTCTTATAGCTGGTCTAATAATTGTATATAATTTGAATGTAATGTATGTTAAATGTAAGCTACCCTGTTTGATTTATTTTCTCTTGTGTATTACATTTCTTTATAATCTCAAATAGGATTTTATATTAAACTTTATTTCACCAAATATAGATTATCTGTAAGATCATTCAGTAAACAATGTCCTCTACAATCTATAATCTAAATCAATACAAATACTGAAGCAAAGCACCAGCACCCCAGAGACATAATCAATATTTAATATTTATGTAGACCTCTTAAGTGTTAGCGTCAGTGCTGTAGAGAGAAGTAGCTCTTGTGCAGGCCCTTTAAGAAAGGGCTGATGTTTTCCAATCTCAATTCTCAAGAGGGTGGAGGTCAACACGTTACACAAGTGGGTGCAGCCTGAAGCTCTTCCTGGGCGAGTCCAGTGATCAGGTTAATTGCTGTTTGTGTTTGAACAAACACAAATTAGGAGTTTGGGTTGTTGCCCCATGTGCCAGATATACACAAGTAAAAGAAAACAGTCATAGACACATGTACAGCTAATGTCTTTTTTCCTGTTGTAAATGATCCCTCCCTGTTGTGAGTTTATGATTCATTACTGTTCCCCTGCTCTTTGAAGGAAGTACAAGTAGATTCTTGTCTGTCCGTCAGCAGTCAGACATCTATAAACCAGTCAACATTAAATAACTCTCACTTTTCCAGCCAAATCTCCACTGAGCCCACATAAATGACAAATCCACATTTGCCTGTTTCCTCTGCAGCTTTCTTTGAATACAAGGAAGATGGAGGAAGATTTCCCAACCCTCCGTCGTACAGTGTTGCCACCACTCTGCCCTCATACGATGAGGCTGAGAGAAGCAAAGCAGAGGCCACTGTCCCTCTGGTCACTGGAAGAGTCACGGTTAGTCCATCCCGTTCACAAACATCATGTAGAAATATTCCTAGTAAGCACGTTTCTCGTCTAATAATAATGGATCCTCATTTATTTCTTGCGGCTGGTTCAGGAGGATGACTTTGTGGCCAGAGATGACTTTGAAGATGCTGATCAGCTGCGAATAGGAAATGACGGGATCTTCATGCTCACGTTCTTCAGTAAGAACCCCTGTAGAATATCACCAGTTGATTTGTACAGTTTTAGTGCAAGGTGTAGTTTTAAGTGTAAGGTCCACTTAAAAGACAAAAAAAATTAGATTTTGAGAATAAAGTCCTAATATTATGAGAACTAGAGGGGTGCTCAGGGAGTCTTGCGTGTTCTTTTCTTTGCTCAAAGAATGCAGATAATCTCCTGGGTGTGAACACCAGTACATCCATTGCACGTGTTTGTTTTCTATCTTAAAGCTGTATGGAGCAGGAGAACATGTTCCAGCCAGATTGATTCATTGAAGAAAAGAAATGACGTCTTTAATAAGAATTTCTTCACACTGTGAAAAAGCCATATTTATGTGTTCGTGGTCCAAAGCATCTTGGTGTTATTTTACCAAATGTCAAACCTTTTCACTAATTAATGTCTTTTCTGTCACCAGTGGCTTTCCTTTTCAACTGGATTGGCTTCTTCCTGTCGTTCTGTTTGACCACGTCAGCCGCCGGTCGATATGGAGCCATCTCTGGCTTCGGCCTGTCCCTCATCAAATGGGTTCTTATTGTCAGGGTGAGATTTGTGTACTTAACATTCACCACACCTGGTTCAGCTACTACATGGCTGTTCAGTGTAGTCAAGGTGCATGATCACTACTATTAATGCACTTCTTAGAGGTATGATTGTACAGGAGGACAGATGCTCTGAACATGGTGACTGTGTAGCATCGTGCTCCTGACAGACGTTCTCTTGCTTTCACAGTTTTCCACCTACTTCCCTGGTTACTTTGACGGACAGTACTGGCTCTGGTGGGTGTTCCTGGCACTGGGTAAGTGAAAGACATTATTTTGATAAACAAATGGCCTATTTTTTTCCCATGATCACATTTCAGTACATGTCTTGTGTTGTTTGAGTTTAACTTGTATGATGTCATGCTTCTTTGGACGTCAGGCTTCATGCTGTTCATCAGAGGCTTCGTGAACTACTCCAGAGTGAGGAAATTAGCTGATCCCGCCTATGCTACTCTTCCCCGAACAAGGGTACTCTTCATCTATTAGAGGTAAGACACAATGCACAATGTTCTGGTTGCACTCATCAGGCATCAGAAATGTTAAACCAACATGCATCTCTGTTTGTTATTTTTCAACAATTTAGATATGAGCACATTGTATAAAACTACAAACAAAATCAGCTTTAGGAAAGACTATAGACAGTTATTGTAGTTTGAGTGATAATGTGACCATTTGAGGGTTATGCTATAGGCTACTTCATCTCTACTTCATCTCTACTTCTCTTCTCTCCTTTAATTATGGGTAAGTCTAAGGAATTCTGGGATTCTGATATTTCTTCATAATCTTCTTCTGATGACAAACTTGATCCATAGTGAAGAAGAAGGAGCAAAAATCATTTTTTTTTAGTTTACAAATATTTAAATATATTTAAATATTTAAAAAGAGTTATCGGTGGTGGAAATCAAATGTTATTAGAGTTATTTATGCAGAATCCCATAAATCCCACCACACATCTAAAATATGGAAGGGACTTTGCTGAAATCTGATTTTGTTTTTGTTGCATTTCTCAAAACAACCTCAGGACGGTGGATGTGGAAGAACTGGACACCATCAACAAAAGAAGTGACTCTGTGACGAGTCCGAATAAACTGAAGACAATTAACACGAGAAATCCACCAGACGAGTTATAGATGAAGACGACTCTCTGTAAAATATTCAGGAATTATATCACTTCTTTTATTTTGTTTTTGAAATTTTATTAATGGAAAAGAAAATGTTAACGGTAATAGTCCCTCAGTGTACTCATTAGTGGTGAATGTTAAGTGCTAATTACATCTCAGTCTGTAATGTAAAAGTAATGCCTTATATCATTTGATGGTAGCATACAAGCATGCATCTGCCCTTAAGGTCAATAAATGGAGAGAGTCTCATGTTGGTGACACTTGAAGCCAACAGGTATGAATTAATACAGCACTCTGTAGACTCGTCATAGCATGTAACACACTTTGTAATCTGCACTTAAGGTTTTATTGCAACTATTATAAGATGTTTTTAGACGCCACCTCCACGTAGATATTCAACTTTAATTATTAGATGGTGAATGCAAATCTACGCATCACACTCCCCTGATGGCTTTAAGTAGTGTGGCCCTCTTTATCCAGAAGGGGGCAGTGTTGTTCTCTAATTGAAGAGAGGAGAGCTGTTTATCAAGGGCATCATCATTATTAAAAAATTCATGCTTGTGATTCAAATGCAGCGTCGGCGGAGCACAGAAATGACAGCCACACGTCCGATGTTATGATTTATGCCTGTTAAATTTTTTGATGTAAATCAAGTTAAAGTATCCACCTTGGAAAACGAGTTTAAGTTACAGATATGATCTTGGGTAAGGCCACATTCTCTAAAAAAGAAGACAACATGTAATTTAAAACCAGACGACAACAAATGTCAAGTGACAAACCCTCTCGAGTGGACGCTGACAGTGATTGGACACTGATTAATTTTTTTTCTGGACGGTGACAACAACCTGAGATGATTTTTCTGGGCGTGCGAGCACATTTTCTGGTTCACGTCCTTAAAAAGCTCATTTAGATGCAACAGCGTGACCTCTCCACGACTCCTCGGTGAGTCAGTGGAGTCGGCATCACATTAACTGTCAGTGGAAAAGCTCTGTGATTACAGAAGAGAGTCTTTGGCTGTCAGGATTTCAGCTGTTAATGATCTTGCTGCGTGTTCGGATCACATTCTCTAAAACCATTAAAGGAAATCTCAAACTCCTTTTCCAGCTGGTTTTTTGCCGTAAGATTTAATTGACAGATGGGGGGGGGGCAAATCTGGCGAAGGGCTTGTTATGATCTATTTTTTTTAAGTAAAGTCTTCACCAGGTGTAACATGTTAGCTATATTGTGGGTATTAGATGTATATCAAAGAATGTTGTATGCAGGTGCACTTTTAGAAACATAGCTGATAAAATCCAAAGGATGCTCCCATCAAATCTCAAATGTATAGATCATGAAATAAATGACGCAGCGGTGCAGGATTTAGTTTCTGGATTTTTTATAATCTGGAGGGAACGGCACGTCAGGATAATAATCTCTTTCATGATGACAGATAAATTCAGACTTCTCCCACAACTTTGATTCAGACTCATTATGCTTATTTCTGTGATGTAGAGCTGCAGCCTTTGGGGTTTTGTTGTTATGAAACTGTACAGAAAACGTTTAGTGTTAAATAAATGTCACTTTTAACGAGTCACCTCTGGAGTCGTCTGGATTATTGATCCATGTGTCACAGAGGGGTGGGGGTCCAAAATGCAAAGTGAAAAAAACGCATTCACAAACGTCCTCTTGATGAACTGATTAGTTTGACAGTCAAGGTCACTGTCCCCACACACACATGTATTTGTCCCTTGAACATCATATCTCAAGTCTCTTAAGGAAGAATATCCAGTTTAACAAGATGTCACTTGAAGTCAAAGATGAACAGATGAGATTTCAGTGGTTAAAGGTCACAGTGACATCATTTTATTGTGAAGTACAACTGCAGGTTCTAGTTATTTAATCATTAACAGGTTTCATTTTCAGGTCAGTCATGAGAAGCTTTAGCTGTGAGGACACAGTGCTGCTTGATATTGCAAGAGAGCAGCAGAAGATGTCATGCTGTGTTTTCTCAAGAATTATTTTTTTCAGGTTAAAAAAAAAAAAGCACTCAGTAGAGGAGGGGTTTCCATTGGCCTTGGGGCCCGTCAGGTCTGTATTGCTGTCATGGACGTCACATATTTCACTGTAATAACACAAGGGGCAGCAGCGTGTAACTGCAGAGAATATGAACCATCCACAAGTCTGGTAAAGCTTAAATCCCTCACCTCGACCTCTTGGTGTCGGCCGGACCAACACCTTTTTCAAGACATATTTTATTAAGCACAAGTGCAGATATATGAACTCCACCACACCTGCAACATTCTCAGTCAAAGGTTTACATCCATCATCTTAACATTCAAGTAAATGCAGCAGTTTGAGAGAATGGTCCCAGAGATTATTTTAGAGCAGCCCCTGTAATCACACCTTCATCCACAAGACAAATGACTTGTTTGGCCGAACGTTTGGCCAAATCTCACTGACATCTGGAAACAATTCCTCAGTCGTTAAGATATGTTAGATAAATAAACATTCACTAGCAGTATATTTTCTATGATTATAGTCTATATAAACAGGATATAATTGTGTACAATGCTTCTAGGTTACCGTTAATATAAATAACATCACATAATAGTACAATTACTTGGCTCATTTGCTGTTTCTGACCTTTCATTTTCTTCTTCTCTGGTTTTAAGAGGAACAGTGACCGTAGCAGTGTAGTTCAGTTGCTAATAGAGATGACATGGGGTTGTTCAGTAATGTGGGAGGTTGAGGATAAAAAAAGACAAGTGCAGTGTTTTAGCTCAAATTCCTTTTTGCAGGGACCAAGACCATTGAAAAAATAATTATCTAGTCCTTTCCCAGCATCTCCTCAACCACTTTTCACCCCGTCTTATTTCACAAACACAAATCTGTCCTCCAGCAGCTGCTGGTCCATTTTTTTTCCAGGTAAACACTGCGTGTTGAGGTGAACGTCTTCTTCTTCTACTCCCCAGAGCTGTCCAGCTGGCGGGGCAGAAAGAAGACGGCCTTCTGCCCAATGTGAGTTCTTGGACCCAGTTTAGGTTTTCCGTTCTTTTTCAGAGCCACATACCAGTTCCTCTCCCGTTGCTTCTGAGGCCGATATGTGTTGTAGTGATTCTCCTCCAGTTTCTCCAGGAAGTACGACTCATCAGAGACTGTGGGCTGAGAGAGGAATGCACAAGAAAACAGCTGATAGTAGAGATGTGCCAATACACCCAGCATCAGAAATGCCTGATACTGCTGAAAACACCGGATCAGGGATTGCTGAGACCGTGTTCAGAACCAATTCCACATTTTTGAAGAATATTAGTTTCACCCATAAAACTGCAAATTTCTTTTCCCAGAAATCACAACTACTTTTTCATGCTGCTCCAAAACAGCATTTGTGCTGTACGGCCACTGGCAAGAAGTGTTTTAAAGGTTCAGTGTGTAGAATTTAGTGACATCTAGAGGTGAAGTTTCATGTTGCAGCCGAATGCTCCTCATCTCACCCTCCCAACATGAAAAAGAACCTGTGTGAACTTTAGTTGTCATGAAAACTCAAACGTTTGTCCAGTTTGGATGACTGTAAATAACATGGCAGCCTTCACAGAGGGGACCCCCCCCCCCCCCCCATGTAAATATAAAGGGCCCATTCTATAGTAAAGAAGAAACACACCAGTGGAAATCACTAGGATTATTTCATATTCAATTTCTGCCAAAGATCCCTTTCACCTAAACCTTACACACTGGACCTTTAAGAGGACTGAAGAAGATACATTGGTATTGGATCTGTACTTGGTATCAACAGATACGCAAAGTATCTGTACTCCTATCAGCAGAAAACAGAGTCCATGTATTGATATCAATACTATTGACCAATACAAACAAAACATGTCTATTGTGTTTAATATTCTGATTGACTGTCACATCCCTCATCAGCAGATACTCACTGAACTGTACAGACGTCCCTCATCGCTCATTGCCAGATATCGCTCAGCCTCTGTCCCCTGGATGACCACCACTCCTCTGTCCACTGATTTGATCTTTAAAACAGCTGTTTGACGTGAAGTGAGAAGAAAATAACACATTTGAGGTTCACAAACACACCTCCACTAAATCATGGGTCACTTTCTGTTCTGGACGGAGACAGATGGAGAAATGCAAAGTCTGAGATTTCTGTTTCAGGTTCAAACGACTGCAGATGAAATGTTTCATCATCAGGGCTGTTGTTTATTGTCATTGATCACAACAGCAACAGTTACAGTCGATGGATGGATGGATGGATGGATGGATGGATGGATAGATAGATAGATAGATAGATAGA